TGTTTATCGGGTCCTACAGTGAAGACACAGTCACGGTGACGGTTTAGCTTTTCTTCACTTCAAGCATCCATTCAATCAGGACGCGACTTGATTTCATTTATCTTCCCACAGATAGTTAAAAGGCATATGCTACTCGGCACAGAAGTAGCCCTAATTGACTTTGAAGTCCATCGCCTCGTACATCACTCGGCTCTTATTCGAAACGGTGTTCATAACACGCAAACACAGCCTGCTTTGTTTCGCAGACAAAAAGAAAACTGCATAGCTTTGCGTTTTGGTTTACAAGATATTGAATGAAGATCAGGTTGTAATAAAATAAGGATGCCTTACGAGTTACGAACATGGGGCTGGGTTGGAGCTGTTGTCAGACAGAAATAAAGGAGAAAAAAAAGGTAAATGTACTGAACGCAAGACCGTTAACTTGGACATGCGATCGCCGCTAACTGTGTAGCGTGCTTATTTTTTCTAAAGGTTATCGTGAAAACTACTGGCGTGTTTGAAAGGGCTGATTTCGGGCAATAAGTCAAGCGGTAAAGTGTGGTGCCCACCAATACTATTTGGTGGTAAAAGGCAGAAAATAACCAATGTCGTGTTGGCACCAACCGCGTAGCGCATGCAGTCTACTACATGCATGCGCAAGGTTTACTTTAATTAATTTATTTATAATATAGTGTTCTTGGGGTGAACACGTCGCTGCATTTCAATTAAGAAGCTTCTGCTATTTTGTGACTATTGTTCACGCGCGTTGTCGAAGCGCTGTGACGCGTTCAGGCACTTCTTCCTAAACTCAGGCATGATATCCAAGGTTGCGTGTTTTTTCGTCTTTTTTTCTTCATTTTCCTCTTTGGAAACTTGGCCCCTTATCTTGTTTCCTTCTTTTATTGCTTGCGGGACCTTTCCAAGTATTCTGGGCACGAGCATGTTCTCTGGAGGATGGGGCAACTGCACACCGATGTTCTGTTTCATTAGCGAAGAGAAATTTAGCCAAAGCGATATTTAAATACTCATAGAGGTAGAGCTGCAGCTTTTATGAAAACACTCATATGGATTTAGCCAATGATGTTCGAGTCCACTGACGCACCTTCTTGCTCAACATCGAAGTAGGAAAGATTGTTTAACTTGTTTAACATTTTTATATTGGTAAAACGGCTGTAGGTGTATATTTTCGTCCTAGCGTACGCTGCAATTTAGTTTAATCAGACTAGTCTGCATCGAATGCACAAGGTGTCTCATGAACTCAGAATAATATTCGCTCAGACATAGCTCAATTCCCCTAAACGGGGTACGGGTAACAGGCTCCCAAATATATGTTAATTGTAAATAATTAGGGCTAGCCAATCGATCGATTAACCTTCCGATTAATCGATTAAGGCCTTAATCGCGATCAAATTTTTTAGCCGGTTAATCGGTTTTTTAATCGGTACTCAAAAACAAGTCAACTAGACGCACGCATGACTCTATCCTGGAAGACCTGCCGGAACTAGGGATGACTCATGACACCCCCCCCCCCCCCCCCCCCCCCCCTTAAGGGCAGCTCCGCCGTCAATTTGAGCGTTTTTATAAAAACATATTTTCGGAAAGGGTACTAAAAATTTAGCCTATAGCAGCGGTTAAATCATGAAAAAACTGTTTACATAATTTATAATCGTTAAAATACGCTGAAACCGATACCGAAACTAACTTGCCACTCGACTGGTCCGCCATTTTGACGTGACGTCACATATGGTATAAACACTCGCACGTGTGCAGTTTGAGCCTGGCCAGCCTGGCAGCAGGTCACTGTTTTGTGTTCGTGCCGCGGATAAAAATGGACTCACCAGGCTCGTCTTAATCGAGCAACGATGAGGATATGCTGCTAGATGTTGAGGACGATGACGATAACCCGTTCTCATACGATCCGCCGGCATCGCCTCCGAGAAAACCGCCAGCGGCGTCTGCATTCGTGATCCGCCGCCATGTGGACCCAGATGCCGTTTCCGAAGCGGAATGGTCAGGCAGCTTTTGTTGCTAGCACGCCAAGAAAAACTGATCGACGTTATGCCTTTTAATTGGAGGCACTTTTTGTTATATCTTGGAATCTGACAATAGACGGTTTTAGTAGACCGTGTTTTCAAGCGACGCTTCCACACACAACACCAATTTCCTCCAGTCGCCATTACGCTCTTACATAACTGTATAAACCGATAATATAAGCAAAAAGCAAACAGTGGCTAGCACCAACTAGCTACAAAGGAAGCACCCTGACCAACATGTGACGTCACGGCAACGTCAGCGCCATCATGGCAGCCTTCGTGTACCGCTCTTGCTCAGTGTTGCCAGTAGGACTGCAGCAAGTGATTTGGGTGTGTACATGTAAATTTCAAAATTCATTTTCTTCTAAAAAAATAATATTTTCCCGAGATATTTTGTACACATGCTCAGGAAGGGCATCCAAATACATGGTGACAATTTTATAAAAATCGGTGACCATCAAAATTTCGGTGGAGATGCCCTTTAAGGAAAACGCTGCGTGGCGGTCGTACTGTTCCGAGCGGTTTTCTGTTTTCAGGCAGGTGCTATGAGCAAGGTTCAATTGACCTTTTTCAGAGTTCGTTGAAGCGACCGTGGCGCACCCTCGTGGAGATAATTCAAAACGTTTGCGGGCTCAGTCCGTCCTCCCGTCACCCCGTTCGCTTCCTCGACACGATCGTTTTGGTGCGTTCGTTGTGGAAAGTTTTTCTCGCCGTTTTCCGGCTGTCGTTCTCTGCAAATGGCTGATGACGATCCTGGAGGATCGAGTAAAGCAACCGTCTTCGACACTTCGGACTTTATCCGTCTGTACGCTTTTCAAGACGGATGGAGTGCCGATGCGGCATCGGTACCGGTCGTCAACACAGCGTGCGTCGATCGGTACTTACTCCGGTAAGAATGGGCCTTCAAAGAAGCCTACGTGAAGAAGGTCACGGTGAACAACTTTGATCCCGACCACACCGTTCACCTTGTAAGGAGCACCTGTGCACCGTCTATGAAGCAGGGACATTACAGGCAACTGATATCGCTTTCCAAGAGCGCCGATATCGTTCAAGCGTCTTGCGACTGCGTTGCAGTGGGAGTTTATTTCTTCGGTAAAACCCGTGGCGATGTAATAATATGTGTCTTAAGGATTACAAGATGTGTCAATATTTGTAAGACGTGAGCCCCATAGTCGCTATCATTTCGGCAGATTTGTATCAAAATCTGTGTGTGCCAGTCTTTTGATCATACTTTATGCGTGACGCGATAAGCTATCTAAAAAAGAAAAAAAAAAGATTTGTCGCCTTCGTCTTTTTTTGTGGTACTTCAGCATGCAACTAAAAAGGGCCAAGCTATGTCATAGATCTACTTATCGAACTAGGTGACGTGTTGATATAAAATTCTGTAGTAGGACATTTTTTTATTCAATATTTTAATGAGTTTCAAGCTTAAATATAAACTTTGCAGGTTGAGCGGAACATGCCAGCACATAGCTGGCCTGCTCTTTACACTATGCGACAGTGTAAAGATCTGTTTTCCGTGACAACGGCTTGGCGTCCCGCCTCTTCGCTGCCCTGCTGTACCGTGCAAGCAAACTCGGTGCGGAGGCAGGTGTCGGCTTCTATGTAAACAAGGAGGGAGCGAAGTCCGGGTGATTCTCGCCTCGTGAAGATACCCCTGCGTCGTAAAAATCAGGAACAAAACCTTGCTATGAATGACTAGCCTGCACAAAGTATGACGGGTATCTCCTGAGTTCAAACAAATATGAATGAACTAACCTCCAAGGAAGTGGACGCTGCAAACACGCGAGTTCGCAGATGGCTGCCAAGGCCTCCCGTCGGAGTTCTGGCGTCGCAGCGCTTCAATCCATTTTTCTCTCTTCTTGAGGTGCGCGGTAGCTTTCGGGAATCTAAAGAAGCTCACGTTCGGCGTGTTTTTCTTACTGTTTGTACGTTCAACAGCCGAGCAGCGGTGAGGCATCGCGACAGTGCCGGACAGACGCGCCTAGCAATGCGAGCGAAGCCAGGCGTACGACGAGAGCCCGCAAAGATGGCGCCTTTCCCTTTCCTACTCTCTCCTCAAGTTCGAGCATGCGCACAAAATTCTCTGAAAAAGGTCAATTCTCGCGCTCGCGAAGCGTCACGTGTTCGCGGATATACATTACAGTTCTGCCGAGGCCTAACAAACAAATCGGGCCCGCAAGTGATCCCTGCGCGACCGCAAAACTTCACGTGTTGAGGATCTATTACACATCCTGCCCAGGCAAGACAAACAAGCAGAAAAACAAGCTGGGTAGCTAACAACGCCATGGTTACTTGTTCCAGTATTTGGCCCGTTCACGAGTATGAAAGGCAATCTCGCTTGGAAAGTTTGGGTTTAAAGTAAACTCCAGCGGTGAAGTTTTTAAGTTGAGGGAAGTCCACTGCATCATCTGCAAAAAGGCGTTTTCGTACACTGGAAGCGTAAGTTCGCTTCAGTATCGCCTACGAGCGAAGCACCCATGTAGCTGCAGCAAGGACCATCCGCCAAAACGCAGACAAGAATCAGCGCCTTTTCATCGAGGCCCCTTTCTCTGAAAAATGAGGAAAGCATCGCCCAAGCCCCGACTTCTTATCTTCCTTTCGGAGAATGTAGACAAACTTCTTTGTTTTCGGAGCTGGGGCAACAATATGTGAGTCTTTTCCGCCATGTAACAGAAAGCAAAATAAGTCTTTAAAGGCAAGACGAGTTGTTCCTTTTTTTAAAATATATTATTTATAAAAATCAACGCAACCGATTAATCGATTAATTAATCGATTAAAGGGTGGCGATTAATCGGGTTAAAATTTTTAGTCGACGCCCAGCCCTACATTAAAATAATAGTAGCGTCATCGGTAAAATACCGCTGCGAAAAAGTTCCTCCCTCTTGAAGTGCATTCACGGTTCGATTTGTAGGTGCCACAAACCCTTTCTGGGCCGCTTTCTAGAGTGTGCAAAGCGAACCAGCGGCGGAGCCACTATGCCCTTACCTCGAACAGCACTTCGGATGACTGCGTGAAGAGGCAGACGGCGAGGTCCCCCAGCGCCAGGTTGAAGATGAAGAGGTTCACCCGGGAGGCCCTCTTGGCGATGCGCGGCCTGGACAGGACCACCAGGATGGCCAAGTTGCCGGTCAGCGTGAAGAGCATGATGATAGACAGTGTGGCCACACGCTGGATCAGCGGCCCGTCCCACACCACGCCGTCCGGGTAGACACGAGTGCCGTTCCAAGAAGAGGGGCCCGAGAAGGGGACGCCCGCCGGCACGCCTCCAACGCCCCGCTCGGCGCAGTCGGCCATTGAGACCTTAGCCGAGCCCTGAGGAATCCGGAGTAGACGCAGGGTGGACGGTCGCCTTCCTGGCGAGACGGTGGAGTCTGCCGACGCGGCAGTGCATCTGTGAGAAAGTGGGGGCGTGACATTACAGTAGTTCTTAACATGGAGGCTGATATAAACAACAACAACACCAAAACCAACAGCAACAACACTAACACCATCACGAACAACAGCACGACCACCAACAACAACAATACACCCTGCAACAACAACAACAGCAACAACAACAAGAACAGCAACAACAACAACATCAACAACCACCACAACAATAAAACAGCATCAGCAACAACAGCATCAGCAGCAACAAAACAACTTCATCAACAACAACAATAACAACAATAGCAACAGCAAGAGCAGCAACAACAACAACAACAACAACAAAATTATGTCTGTGTTTTTGTACTGCAAGTGTTCTAAGATTGCTTTTTCAGTAACGACACTTGAGCAGACATGCAATAGCTTCATAATTTGACGTGTCTGTTGTGCTTGCTCAACTGAAAGTGAATGCCTCTTTCTTATGGGGATTTCAAATGCACCACATTTATAGGGCCAGCTCTTAGCACTTTCGCGCCCAGGGGATGTAGCCCCTTTGTCAGGTGCTTCTATGCGTCCTTTGTCTCTTCTCGTCCTCCACACCCCCGCTCCCCGATGTCCAAATGGCTAATGAATACAAATACAACTGGTGACGTCACGTTGATGACGTGACGGTGTCCATGTGACGCCATCAGCACTTGAAAAAGGTTCACCGCGACGTAATCATGTGAAGACCCTGACGAAGTCGCGGTGCTCGAGTGAAGTGATGAAGTGATGATTCTTCTATTTCTAGTGGAAGGATGAATCTGTTGGTACGTTGCACCAAACTTTTCTCGCCACCACGCTCGATTGTTTAGTATTGAAGAAAGAATTAACATTTCTTATTCATATTATTATTAAACGCTCATCGGGCGCAGAAAGATGGTGTTAACCTTTTGCACACGTTGCAAATGCCGAAGACGTGAAATAGCAATAATAAAAAAAGTAACAGAAAGCATCCACATAAATACATAGTGCCTGTCAAAACTAGGAATCTACAGCATTTTCACGTGAATCGTAGCAAAAGAAAATAAAAAAAAAAGCCTCACGCATCAAGTTTTTGTCGCCCGTGATCCTTGGCCACTTTGTGCCGATAATTGAAGGACAACAACAACCGTTATGATATGTCGCCCCTACACAGGCGACAGACATGTAGGGTTCGTTCCGCAAGATGTAGAGCCTACATCTTGACGGAACCAACGGGGGCGGTAAACTGTGATGTTCAATTGCAACCTGTTCAAAGAAATTATGCCAATGTGCCAATATTGTATTTATATGAACCATATAAAAGAGTGTGCGGAAAACGTTTTTTTTATGTACATTACTGGCGAGCGTTCACATTCAAACACTAGGGCCGTTTACGAAACCGTTACCGTTGGGTACGCGGAGAACGGCCACGGTTAGCTAAAAGTTCCTCTTATGTTGCGGGCATAATTTAAGGATATATGAAAAAAGAAACAAATTATCACCGTTTATATTACTTGATCCTTTTTTTATAAATCTGGTGTTCGTTGCGATATAGCTTTTTTATGTCCTAGATGTACTGGACAGGTAAAAGTATGTTTTTGCGCACGCGTGGAGCATGACAAGCACATACAAAAGAGCTTAGTAACAGAGGTTAATACGCAAATTCAAAACATGCGAAAAAAAAATGTGTGCGACAACGTTTTGCATTTCTTTCAAAGTCTCAAAAGCTCAATTTTTAAAGGTCCATTACAATGTTTCTTAAGTTTTCATGGTTATAAAAAGAAGAAATGTAAATTTTATAAACCCTATAATAGTTACGCTCTAGATATTCTAAAGCATAGGCATTCCAAAGTTAGTTCTGTTAGAGCAATGTTAAAATAACAATTTATATGCGCAAACTGTGAAGATACCTTAAATTTAGAATAAGAAAAATACACGGTCGAATATTACCAAAGATAGGCAGCCATACCTTTCGCGGCGTAAAGAAATATATATATATATATATTGTTTTTAGGAATCAAAGCTAACAACGATTGCGACGGAGAGAAGAATTCTGGGCCTACTTCTCAATACAAATAGGATGGCAAGAAACATCACAATTTGAAGAACCACGCAAACGCAAATGGCTGAAATTTGTGCTTTTCGGGGTCGCCGAGATTTTTTCAAATGCGTACTTGACTGGTTTCTCAATCATAATCTGTCCTTCGTTATTTATACATAAAATTCAAAGACAATAATACGCATAAAACACAAAAGCCCTTTTTTTTTGGTGCAAGACATTGTAAGTTTTTGACCCAGACGTCTCCTTAAATTAGACTTCATTTTGTCGGTGTCAGTAGACTATTATTAATACAGGGCGCTGAAGCTAAAAATGTTGAAGTTGAGGCGGAGAGTTTTTTTTTGTTTATTGGAACTTTTGACAATACATGGTACTGAGGCAAAAGGTGACAGTAAGTCACCTGACCAGGCCCCTAGCACCAGACTACACTTGATGCAGCAGATGCAGCAGGCAGACTAGTGGTACAGTGTAACAGTTAACCATAAACAAAAAAATACACAGATAGTAACCTGATCACTACACTACATATCCTGTTGCAATGAAAAATAAACAAGCAACAATATGCAGCGAAAATATATGACCTAGTTTACTACGATTACATCTGTACACTTAATCTAGAAGACAACAATGTCATGCGGAAAGTAGAAAATATGTTTTAGATTGTTTTCTGAACGTCGAGAGGTTTAAATTATGATCGATTATATCGATCAAAACAGGATGGAGGTTGAGAAGATTAGGAATCTGTCAAGAAAGTAATTGCGTGCCGTAATTTGTTCTAGGTCTGATTTTTATAAAGTTTACATTTCTAAAATTGTAGTGTGCATCAGTATTCGTATGTGTAGAAAGGAATCATTCGAGCGAACTATCAGCTGACGCATAACCTTTCATCTTAACAACTCTTCCAAAGTTTACCGGAACATTGCGTTCATTACGCTGAAAGAAATCACAAAACACTGAGGCCCTCCGCAGTCTGTGCGGTAGAAGATAACGCACGTCTCGCTTTACTAATTCGGCGGAAGAAGTTGATACCAGAATTTAACCGTCCATCAGAGTCGAGGCAAGTGAGCGAAGAATTCACTCTTTTAACCGGCGTTTCGCAGAGCGCACCATTTGCAGGCTAAATCGATGAACGATGGGCCCGAAGACGAGGTAGAAAACTATAAAAAGACAAGGAATCTGAATGAAACGACGCACAGGCTCATTTCCGGAGAGGAGAGCTCTTACACGTTCGGTGAAGCGTGTTGCAACGTATGACTATCGGCAAAGTCGTTTCGTGGTCTTGAGAAACTATCCGACTACGCAAGTGCACGCAAGAAACGTAAAAGAAAAACGCTTCTGTGACAGGGACAGAGCCAGAAATACGCGAATGGTTAGGAGCTTTGACTAAAGGATAAATCCGGATTAGACTAATAGGCAACGACTACCTCTACCTCGTTTCCCTTAGGGAGCCTTCATGTGCGCTTTGCTAGGGTGATGCCACCCTTTGTAATACCACTCGCCGACAACCCAGCAGCCATTTTGTTCCTCGGCGATAATCCGTGGGCTTATAACCCTTCCGGAAACAAGCACCTTATTTCAGAAGTTCGGAGCAGCGTTGTGGAACCCACGAAGGGAGGATTAGCATTTTCCCCCTCGGATGGGATTACCGATGGACACAAAGGCCACTTTCCGGCGCACGGGGAAACAATGAGAGGAACAAAATGGCGGTGGAAGAGGGTGTGGGGAAGGGAAACAGGCAGTTGGCATCACTCTATGCGAAGCGCACATGAAGGCACTCTAGTTTCCCTCTCTTTGAACGTATCGCAGATTAAGCCAGAACATCAAAACACGACTGATAGCCCCGTAGAACTAGAAGTGGATTACGCCGGAGTATCGCAACACCACTACCAGAACCCCCCCCCCCCCCCCCCCCCCCCCCCCCCATATTTACGACTGAATCCAGATTAAGCCGGACCATGTCGACACGACTGAAGGTTTCTTACGAGAACACGGAAAAACTCGTTCGGTTGTTTCACGTAAGCCAGCCGTTTCGCGATGGCCTGCCGAGCTGTACGTTTAGTATTAACGTGACTATCCGTCGCACTTTAGAATTAGTCGTGACGAGTCATTCCGTCGTAATTTGATATTCCGTTATGTTACTCACTTAGGCGTGATGCGATCATCCGGCGTATTACTCGCTTTGTCGTGACGCGATTTTCCGTCGTAGACTACTTCGCCTATGAAACCGCTCACTTAGCTGAAATTTGCATAGCTTCAAAAGGGAAAGCGTTTATCATGTTGTGTATGTATACTTTAAAGTTAGTACGCAGTTTTTTCCGAGCAGACAAATTTAAGTACCTGGAGTTTGCTTTCCTTCGGCACTGCAGTGGGATAGATCGATCCGTGGGGTTTACTGTCGGCAGGACTGGAAGTGTTTGGGGTTTTTCCACGCATGTTTTAGTTTGATAAATAGCGTGGCTAGCTTTCTGGAAAATTGCTTAAAAAAATAAAAAAATCAAGGAAATATCAAAATTCTAATGATTTCCATTCTATGCTAGGCACGTAATGACAGTCCTCGGGAACATTGCGAGCTTTTGTCAAGAAAAGCAAAAGGATAATTTTGTGAACCTGGCCCGTAGGATTTATTGCTAAGAAATTTGTAGAGCCGTGGAATAAAAACTATATGTGTCCAAAAGTTTAATTCCTGCGCACTGATATTTTATGACACCCATCCCAGATATACCCGGGGATAACTGCGATATTTATTATTTCTTAGTTAATTTTTTCAAATTAGTGCATGCACCGGGGCTTTGATGTCCAAGAAAGTTGGGGATGCTTGCTTTGTTTTTACAGACCAATAAAATATCTTTATCTAAAAGGGAAAACTACAAAGACAAAACAACAACTTGAGCTTTAGTAAACATGATTATTCTTAACGTGTGATGTCTGTAAAACCAAAATAAATAACTGAAATGGTTAAATCAACTCGGGACGAGTCTAAAATAATGTGTTCAGTGGTTATTACATTAAGATGTATGTATTAAGAGATCAACATTTCTGTTACCTTCATCTCATTTCTCATCTCGCCAAAAAGCCACACGAGAAAGGCGAAACACATGTATTTTAAAGACGCTTTCTTAAAATCTTATTTGTCTTTTAATTTCCATGCCTTTTAATTGTTCTGTTTTATAGATTATATTTCCATCTACTCTTTCAACTTTGCTCTGCGGGTCGAGTACCGGAGAAAATAAATCATAATATAAAATAAAAGGATAATTTCTACGAGAAATTGCACGAAAGGGGCTAAACAAAGATCGCTACAGAAACGTAAAAAAGAAAAGAATTCTGCGAATCACTGAACTTCTTTTAGGCATGCCATTAAGACGCCCGCAGCCATTTCTTAGACGCGAAGCTGCTGCAGATATTATCCCCCCCCCCCCCCCCCCCCCCTGCCGCGCCCCGCGGTCCTAGAACAAAGCTCTGCCGAAATAACCCCTGTTTGCTTAATTACGGTCTTCCGTAAAGCGGTCTGTAGAGATCATTGTTATCGTTTCAGATTGCCATTGAAACACCGAAAATTCATTTGAGCACCATCGCATAAATTGGGCAAACTTTTTGTAGAATACCTAATTTGTAAACGACGAGACGTCGCTAATCAGGTAGCCCTGAAACAGGGGAAACGAGGTGTAGACGATCCCCATTTAAAAAAGGAAGACCCCTGTCGCGCCTCTGGCGACGAGTTGAGAACCTAGAACAGTAAGGAAAATGAAATATATCGCGTGGCCGTTTCGGATGATGACAGGCAACAGCTTTGTGCCGTGTCGTCAGGAAGCTGCTGCCAGAGCTGTGCGTTTTGTTTTCGTGCAGTATCGATTTAGGGGTTTTCAACAATTCCCAGAAAGCTTCGAAGTAAAACCGAATCTTTGGACTTACTAATTAAAGCTTAAATTTATAGAAAAGTAATTCATACGCGAAATATACAGGTAGTTATTAGCTCCCCTAAATTGACCCTCCGAAAAAAAAAGCAAGGCGATACCAACCTTTTCTTTTTGCCTTTGTGCAATGCGCACTTTTCGCAGGAATGACTTGGCTAGAATTTCTTAAAATACCCTGTATAATGTCCGCTAACTGCGCTCACTTTTTAGGGGTGGCATTCAAAATGCCGATAATCAAAATGCCGAATTATCGGAATGCCGAAATTTAAAACACCGAAAAATCAAAAAGCCGAAAATACAGAAAGTCGAAAATTCCAAAAGCTTAAAAGTCAAAACATTGAAACATCAAAATGCCGGCATCACCTAGTTATAGTGGAAGATAAAGTTTCTTGGCAAGATAAAATTTCTTGGCAATCTGATCAAAGTTAGGGGAGAGGTTTCGCCTGCCGATGTGCACGCGCTTTCGCCCTCTTTTCTAATAGCCATGAAAGGTTGTTCAATGGGATGGCGGGAATACCGGTGGACTTCGTATGATCACGGTGGTGCTACCTCCGCCAACACGGCGGCGTGATTTCCCGAGCAGGTAGTTGCCCTCCCACCATCACAGCAGGTCGCAGGCTTTTTGCAGGAAGAGTGGTTGCAAGGACGCATAGGCATCTCGTCCTTCTTCGGTGGGCAAGAACGAAAGGGCTGCGAGCTGCCTCACCTTGATGGCGAAGCCACCTGCATAATGTTTGTAGAGTACTGCCAGTCCTAGGTACTGCACTCTCCTCCATACTTATTGGCACAAGTGGAACAGACAACCGTGCATTAGAGCCGTGCACATGCGACGACGGGAGCAACGGCCAAATAGCATTGATTGCTGCCAGTCCGAAGTCTGTACTCTCCGTTTTTGGATTTAGTGCCAGTCCGATATCTGCGGCGAAGTTCAGCGCTTCTTCGAAGAGCGCCTCGTGCGCCATCTGGGTTCGTCGAGTCATTAGCAAGTAAACAAAAGGGAACACATGGTTATGAAGATAAGCGTGAATTGTGTGTAAGTGTTAGAACAGCGGAACACAATCTTAAATGTTCCGTCTATGAGCCACATCGGAGCGTCGTTCAATTTCCTCAAGCTTTCGTCCGTGAAAAAATTTAGGGGTCGAGCTCCATCTGGCGCTGGTGGAGTCGCACCGCAGAACTTCCCGGCCATCTAAAGTTGTCCTGAACTCGCCCTCGATGATGAGCTCCTGCACGGCAGACGGCTCGTGTGAGCAGCCCGCTTTCCCCTTCCTTCTCACAATCTGGCGCAAGGCTTCATTGCGTGGAGGGTACTGCCTTGACGACGCTGCCACATCTACCATGACCTGCTGCACGATCTTCACGGGTGCCTCATCCGAGGCCGCCACCAGAGCTTTGATCCGTTCTTGAGTCCTAAGAACTGTAACTTTGCAGGTATCCGGAGCATGGCTTGCGTGGGTCCCTGTCTTCGAGATGATCTTGTGAGTACCTTCTATAGGAAGTTTGGTGATCATTCTAGCGTTGCATTCGCCTCGCTTCTCGTACTTCCAATGGTGCCTAGAAACTACTTTCTTGTCAAGCACGTAAACATAACCGTCTTTGCAGCTAAGGTTTGCTCTTTCCTTCTGGGAGCACACCACAACCACGTCTTTGTCCATTTCCCTCCGAATCAATGAAATTATTACTGCCGCACATTGCTGCTGCTCTCGTACTCTGAACACTGGGCAACGCTGTTTTTTTCTGCTAACCAATAAGAGCTGTCCTGTCCGACTGATATGCTTAGCTTTAAGACCGATAGAAAAATACGAAATTTTACATCAGTTTAATGTATTGACACAGGTACCTTTGCAGAACGAGTTATACAGGCTCGTGTCACTGAAAAGTGATCTGGCGGAAAACGAACAAGTGGTAGTCACAAAGCGCGTCATTTCTTTTTCACGAGGTTTTCAGCGTTATGTCTTTTCGGCATTTTGATTATTAGGCATTTAATTTTTTGGCTATTTCTTTTTTCGCCATTTCAATTTTTCAGCATTTCAAATTTCGGCGTACTTGCGTTCGGCCTTTTCATAATTTGGCCTCTTGATTTTTGGCGTTTTGATAGGGACCCATTTTTTAGACGACCACAGCGGGCGCCTCTTACTGACTGTGCTAGGAGCGTATAACTCTTTGGATTAATAGCGTTTTACGACATCCACAGTTTAATAAAACGAGTAACTTAGGCCGGTGAGTCGAGCAGAATTCCACGATATCAGGGTTCTGACCGAGATTGCATCGCCTAGTGTACGTAGCCGACGACGTTTTAGTCAATCTTCGTAACATCTGGCAAAGTTCATCTTTCATTAATATGTAGCGACCGTGAAACGGATGCTGTCCAAAATGCGCCATAATTTGTCAACACACAGGTACTTCAAAGCGTAAGTAATGAATTTAACTTTTTATGAATTCGGCAGTTCTGAAAAATAAAAACGGTAAAGAAAGATACAACTAAGTTAATATACTGCTTTGAAGGTATTCGACGTTTGTTTCTAGGCTTGTTTTTTCCTTTTATAATATTGCATTTCGACCTTAGCTGTGTTGCGTCTGTATAGTGCTCTGCCGAAATGTTGTCTTCTTTATTTAAATGGAAACTATATAACTTTCTGCGCTAGCCTATTCATGGTCATAACTCAATCTGTAGGCTCAAAACATCATGAAAAACAAAGATTACAATCATGCTTGGCCGATTTATTCATAACAACTGATATCAGTGAGTGAGTGAAAAAAACCAAAAAAACACGATCATTCAGCCATAAGATTATGGCGAGCGATCGCACTGCGGCAGGTCTGGAAGGCGATGACCGACTTTCACCTCATGCAATAATACAATGCCAAAATCAAATTTGTTGCGTAGAGGACAGGAAACGCAGAGTTGGTCAGCTTGGAAGTGGCGTCTGTTGTGTTCACCGTAGAAGAGCACGTTTACAATATTCAGCGGCAAAAACGGGACGAAAAAGGTAACTTTGAAGAATGGTGCCAATCGATGGGACATAATTGGCACATTAATGTAGGGTACGGTATCTGCAATGTAGATCGTCGAATAGTCGCCGAAATGAGCTCCTAAAAACGTGTTCATGGATATGAATCGATAAGTACGTTATCATCTTAATATATCTTTGATTGCAATTTTTTTTTGCAAATGAACCTAATATAATAAAGGGAGAGAAAAAGTGCCACTAAAAAGGATGTTAATTAAGACTAGGGTTGGCGTGATATAATTTTTTTCACGCATAGTCTAATCACGTACTTTAGGGCCCCACTTTGCGTACTGGTGCTGCATAGATACCGGGCGTGGGAAGTAACGTAGTACAATGATATCGTGATAGTATCTTAGAGATACTTTTGAATATCTCTGTATCGAGTGTATCTGTGTCGAGTTACTTTTGAAAACTGTATTTGTGTATCTGTAGCGAAATTCATTTGCGATGTATCGCTCATGTCGCGATACTCTGCCAGGCTTGGCGATCTTGTTACACTTGTCGAAAATTAACTGTTGGTTTTGTATGATGAAATGAAAAAAAAGGCACCTCTTTGGTGCAAGGGGCCCAGAATTTGAGATATGCACCTGCCGCACAATCCCATCTACAGGGGGGAAGCCCAGTTTTCCAATACATGTCAGAATCGCAAAAAAAAAAAAAAAAAAAAAAATTCATATAAATAAAGGAAGACAAAACATACAAACAGATAAGCAAGTAAACAAACAAATGCGGTTGGAAGAACAGTCACTTGCAAACAATAGCAGGATAAGCTCCTGTAAGAAACCCGGTTTGCCGTGAAGGTACGTTTAAAAGTGAGACACACCTTCACAGCCATCAGGTTTCATTTCGAACGGACGCGCCTTTCCTCAAGCATGGCCAGCCGTCATTCGTCTTCAGTACTTATGGGGTACACTGGGGGCGACAATTTTTCCCATCGGCATTTGGAATGGTGGCTGCATAAAAATGAGTTTGAGGTGCATAAACTGACACAAAGAGAACAATACAAGTCCTGCCATTTGCATTCCTAAAATATTTTTGAGCGTTTTGCGGAAGTACCTTAATAATATCCCATTACATAAAGGGCAAATGTATATCAGTACCTAAACCTTGAGCCTAAAATACACGTATCTCAGTATTTGTACTCTGTAATGCTTTCTGGAGTATCTATGCACAGTCCTGCAGCTCTTGTTAAAGGGAGACTAACACCCCCCCCCCCCCAATTTTTAAAAATTTTTTTTACATGTGATTTATTATGGTGCCAGAAGACTACCCAACCAATATTTTGCTACAGAGTCAAGTACAGAGTCAAGTATAGTTTTAAGAAAGTAAAAAATCAAAGCCGTTTACAACTTCCTGTAACGCCGAATTACAGCGCAGCTCTTGAGGAGGAGTAGGGAAGTGTTCTGAGGGGGGGAGGAGGAGGGAAGGGTATTGGGGGAGGGTAGACCCCTCCTTCTTCTCCTTCTCCTCCTCCTCCCCTCCTTCTTTAATAACCTCCGGGGGAAGGGGGGGAGGGGTCACGTGACCCTGGGGGAAGGGGTCACGTCATCTGGGGGTTACGTTACCTCGAGGGTCACGTGATCTGGGGGTCACGTGACCTCGGGGGGTAGGTGACCTTGGGAGTCACGTGATCTGGGGGTCACGTGACCTTGGGAGGTCACGTGACCTCGCGGTTACGCCGACGGCGACGCCGCTCAAGTCGGATACGGGCCCCTAATAGCTGCGCTCTCGAAAACGCAACTACACGAAACAGAAACCGAAACTGAACAGGGGAGGAAGAAGGAATACAGAGAAGGAGAAAGTTACCGGAAGTGACGTGGCTGTGCAGCTTCTTTTGTTTCAGTCAACAGATTTGCGATGTATTAGAAGCCACAAAAAATCTGTGTCTTATTTTCAGTCTATTGTTAGTATTCAGTGTGTTCCTTCGATGGACCCACGACTTCGACTATCTTTGGTGGTTCCCTCTGAACCAAAGAAAACGGCTCGTGACCACGAAAAAGAGAGTGACCGAGACTCAAAACGGCCAGTTCTCGATCGTCGGTCTTCGAGCGGAAAGAAACCGAATTTAGAGCCGTTAATTGTGTTCTCGGTAGTTGGGGCTCTCATATGTGATATACAAATAAAAGGGCGGCGGAGAAAAGCTCACCGGAGAAAAGCTCACCGGAGAAAAGCTCACCGGAGAAAAGCTCACCTGAGATAAGCTCACCGCGAAACCGGCAGATCCGGAGAAAAGCTCACCGATTTCTTTTTTTTTATCTTAGCGGATTCTGCGTTAAGAGGCAATTTCACACAAATTGCATTCGCCACTTCATTAAAAAAAAACAAAAAAAAACATGTCCTCTTTCTTGTAATATTCTTGAAGGTCATTGGGCATATTTACTAATTCCTCAGAAATTAGTAATCACCCATTGTGTATAATAATGAAGCCGCAAAAATGTTATCAAAACATCGTACACCGGTAAAAAAGACAACAATCTATTGACAACTGAGGGTGCGCCGTCGGTAGCTTTGTCAAATAAAGAGGTTTGTTCTTTGTGAGCTAATATGAATAGCGGTGTGGTGAACCGTTTCAGCTCCAAATATTTTGTAGTGCCTAATAGTTAAGTAGGTATTTGTTGATGCAATCAGTGTAGGCTACGCTGTTTTCTTTCTGTTAATTTCACTAAGAAAACTTTAGTTGCGAGAACAGCTTCGTCCTGTCGTGTTTGTTGTCTTCACTCGTTCGTCGTCGTTTGAGCGGTTTTCATCATGTATAACGTTTACCCACTCGCCCTATTCGCTACCTTACAAAAGACTATTTCTTATATAGGTCACGAGTAACAACGGTGCCAGTGCGTAGCTCTGAAAGTCATGAGTGGCTCACCTCAAAAGGGCACTATCACACAAAGGCAACGTGCGGAAACACCAGCACGAACGGCTAGAAAACGTGCATGTCCGTGGAAGAAAGAGGCCTCAATATCCTACTGACTGTGTTATCCTGTTTTCAAAGGTTAATAAAAGCTTCAAAGAGAATTTCAGGCACTACGTTGTTGCGCATGCACTTTCGGATTTTCGGTGTTTACAGTTTTGATTTTTAGGTTTTAGGGAGACATAAGTTTTCGAACTTTTTCATGTTATTCAAGTTCATAAAATTTTCAGTTAGGCTTTAGTTGCCTAGAGAGTAAGCCGCAGGAAAAACTGGTCCGCCATTATTAATTTGGGAGCGATATACTTAATAAGCTTGGCAAATAATAGAAAAAGGGCATTTTCTTTTTGACAAAGCTGACGAACTTTAATGATAATAAATTGATATATGTTATGCATGATCCAACAGCCTCTATAGAACAAGAAAACAAATCGGTGAGCTTTTCTCCGCATCCGCAGGTTTTGCGGTGAGCTTTTCTCCGGTGAGCTTATCTCCGGTGAGCTTTTCTCCGGTGAGCTTTTTGTCCGGTCAGCTTTTCTCCGGGATTCCAAATAAAAACCTTGGCTAGCATAGATACCATGTCAGTGTCCCTTTAAAACACGCCGTGTCCGTTTCTGCTTGGAGAATCTGAAAGCAATATGGCTTCCGATATAGTTCAGCCTTGTATTAGGAGCAAATCCATGTGCCGACTAACAGCATTTGAAGTTTCTAGCATGGATACGTCTGGACTGAAACAGCG